GTGGGGGCTGGCAGGGAAAGGGGGGGGGCCGGGACAGCCGGGGCTGACGTGGGCTGCGCTGTCCCCAGGGCGAGAGCATCACCTGGGTCATCTTCCTCATCTCCTACTGGGGTGAGCAGATTGGGCAGAAGATCCGCAAGATCTCAGACTGGTGAGCCAGTGGTCCCACACCACACGTCCGGCCACGTAGAGGTTTATTTAAGCAAGACCCACTCCGGCCCCCGCCATGGGGACGGGCTGGGCCACCCCGGGCAGCTCTGGCACCCCCTGACATGGTGGTGTCCCATCTGTCCCAGCTTCCACTGCCACGTGTACCCCTACCCGGAGAGCGAGGCCAGCCGGGCGGACACCATGAGCGGGCTGCAGAGCCAGATCCAGGACCTCAGCGTGGTGAGCTGGACACCACAGCGGGGACCGGAGGGGTCACGCCGGGACCCTCCCCGTTCCTCACCCATGCTGGGCACCCCCGTAGGTGCTGGAGGAGACGGAGCAGTACCTGGCGCAGGTGTTGGACAAGGTGGTGCTGGCACTGCCCACCTGGAGGGTGCAGGTACAGAAGATGAAGGCCATCTACCTCGTCCTCAACCAGTGCAGCTTCGATGTCACCGAGAAGTGCCTCATCGCCGAGGTCTGGTGCCCCGTGCGGGACCTCACCCAAGTGCAGGACGCCCTGCGCCAGGGATCGGTGGGTTGCTTGGTGTCTCCACGTCCTCGTGCTGGGGTTGCTTGGTGTCCCCATATCCTCATGCCACGGGTTGCTTGGTGGTCCCCATGCCCTTGTGTTGGGGTTTGCATGGTGGTCCCCATGTCCTTGTGTTGGGGTTTGCATGGTGGTCCCCATGTCCTTGTGTTGGGGTTTGCATGGTGGTCCCTATGTCTTCTTGCCAGGGGTTGCTTGGTGGTTCCCATGTCCTTGTGCTGGGGTTAGCTTGGTGCCCCCATGTCGTCATGCCAGAGGTTGCCCAGTGTCCCCGCGTCCTCCTGCCATGGTGGGGCAGGTTCTGGGCAGGTGGGTGCTGTGGGTCAGGCGCCGGGTCCTCTCCCCGCAGTACAAGAGCGGCTCGAGCGTGGAGTGCTTCGTGCAGCGCATCCCCACCTCGGAGAGCCCTCCAACCCTCATCCGCACCAACAAGTTCACCGCCGGCTTCCAGAGCATCGTGGACGCCTATGGGGTGGCCAGCTACCAGGAGGTGAACCCCGGTAAGGCCCCCTGCCACGGCCCAGGGCTGCGGGGGACACACACGGGGAACCGTGTGACATGGTCCCTGTGCCCCCACAGCGCCATACGCCATCATCACCTTCCCCTTCATCTTCGCCATCATGTTTGGGGACGTGGGGCACGGGCTGCTCATGTTCCTCTTCGCTCTCTGGATGGTGCTGTTCGAGAACAGCCCCAGCCTGCGGCAGGC